GAAGCACTGCCAAAGATCCTGCAAATAATTTCTCTGGGAGCAAGGATGGGCGACAATGCTAGGGAATCCCAACTCCACCACTTCATGGCCTTCCCCAACACCCTGCATGGAGCCCTCAAGACACCTTGTCCCCAAATACTGCTGGGAAAATGAAGGGCAAAAATAAAAGCCCAGGACAGTCGCTCGCATCTAGAGATTGCCTGTTGGAAGGAAAAAGAAAACTCACAGTGGGTTAGCTCTGCCCTCAGCCTGAGGTCACGGACAGAAGAGAAGCCCAAGCCAAGCCCCAGAGTCACATCCAGCTACACTGTGGGTGGCATGGGGAGAAGCAGGAAATTACTGCTGCTCATGACATATAATGCAGGGAGACAAGGACCCTCAGTCCTGGACCAGGACCCCTTTGTGTTGGGTGTTGGCTAGCATAGAACAAAGTGCTGGCCCTTACCGCAAAGAACTCACATCTATATTCAGAGCAGGAAGGAAAAGCCCTTCCAACTTCTACAGCAATATCACAGTGGCCTTTACAGCCACCGCTCCACAATCTCTCTCACTTGCATCAGAACACCCACCAGTACCAAGCACAGAGGAGTCACTGGGAAGCCCTTGTATAGGCACCACTTCACATTCTCCTTCAAGACAGCCTGCCACTGACTGCAGCTATCTGGGTAGCGTTTTACACTCCCTACGCCCAGAGAAGCCATGGGGTGCAATGCAGAATAATACCAGGTCCAAGGGGCTTCATAGCTACCAGGCCTCTTGGAGGACTGCACTCTGGGCCTACACAGTACCAATAACTGCAAGTGTCCATCAGCCAAAGTCTTGAGGCAAGACAAAGTAAGGGAGCCTTCCAGTTCCACCAGGGATCCTAACTTGTCTCTGTGGCTGCCCATGAGTGCCCCAGCCGAGCCCAGCTACTTTTCCCCATCTGCGGTCTCCATTGTCTAGGCTGCCTGCTTGCTGGATTATTTTTAAGCTGACAGCTGAATGCGCCCTTGTGATTCTAACTAGTGCAGACAAGCCTCAGAAGGGGAGACAGCAAAAGGAAGCAGCACAGGCACTCCTGAACCCCACAGACACCCACCCATAGCTAACACCGCTGCCTCACCTGCAACATCCACCCCAGACACACTCCAACCTACCCACCTGGCCCTGCCAACCACAGGGACACAGCACGTCTCTGACACAGCTATTAAGTGGCATTTAGTTTAATTACTTATCTGACCATTGTAGCAGCTGCCTGCCATTCTGCTGCCCAGTGTCTCTCACCCTCCTGCTACCTCCCCTGCATATTCCCAGGTGCTGGCAAGATGTTCCTCTGGAAAAGGAAGGTTACAGACGAGGCAGGATGTCTTCCCCAACTGGAAGGTTGAAGCCCTGGACAAAGCCAGTTCAACAGACTCTCTGGTGGACCAAAGGATAACAGTGTTCCAGCTTGCACCCCAGAGCCTGGCTGATATCCACTCCATACGTTTATCTCCAACTGCACATACAGGCTGCAATTAAGTAATAGCACAGAGCAGAGGAGCCTTCCTTTTTAGCCTTGCTTTGGTGATGAGAGGAAGTTGGCTTCTAGCATTCCTTGCCCCAGTGCCCAAGCTTTGCTTTGCCCCTTGTAGCCATGGCAGTATCCACACCACAGGCAATTCCTGCCCTTTTCTTCAGGCAAGCTCTTCCCCTTGGCCTACTGCTTAGTCAAGAGTAGTCTGGTGCTTCTAGCACAGGGTAAAGCCATCAGAGCAGGGGGCCAAATTAATCCCAACAGAGCTGTTCTAGGGATAACTGAGGCTCCACACATCTAAAACAAGCCAAAAGGCCCATTCTGCAGCCCCTGCTCACTGTGAATGGCACTCACCTAAAAGTGAGTGGCTCTGCTGCCTTCACTCAGACCCACTGACCTGAATGCCGCTACTCATGTAAGTATTGTTTATTCATCCTAAGGGCTGCACAATCCAACCATAAGTGTTCAGTAGATTATACTTCTAATAAACTACAGAAAGCTCATCTAAACCAGTGGATCTCAGCATTGTGCAGGAAGGCTGAGCATTACATTGCTTGGCATGTTTTCTGGTGGCATCAGGAGTAAACCAGAGATGGTCATACAGTCCACCCACAGGATAATATTGTGCTCCAGTAGAAACTTCAGGTACACTGGATCTTGGTAAGTCTACCTGCACAAACCTGTCTCTTTGGCAATGACAAGATCATCTTGTGTGTTTGCCTTACTATTGTGTCCCTTCAGTGACACTTCCTCATGCATGCAGACTGAATGCCTCACTTTGCCCGACTTCTGCCTCCAGCCTATTTAGCTTGTGCCCCACACCTCAAGGACCTTTAGTCCTCACCATCTCTATGATGTTCTTTTGTCACCATCTCTGATCTCTCTTCTACTCTTTTGCATCGATCTGCATCCTGATCACAAGAGCTACCAAAAGAAAAGACAAGCAGGAGAGCATAGTCCAGTGGGTAGGGCACTTGCCTGAGACCCATAAGGCCTATTTTATTACCTGCTCTGCTGTGTGATGAGAGAAGTCCTCTCTCTTTTCTGTGACTCTGCTTCATTCCTGTCTTTTATTACGTGTTCAAATAGTGCCCCAGCACAAGCAGACCCAACGCTGGATGAGACCACTGGGTGCCATTATCATACAAACAACGACCTCCAGACAAAATGCACATTCCACTCCAACACCTGATTTGTCATCTTTCCCATTTGTTCCTTGCTTTCATGCCCCCTCTTCCCTGCAGGAAGCCAGAAATTCCCCTTTCTTTTTATTTTAACTAAGGACAGAAGCCTCCCGAGGTGCTCCAACCAGCTGCATCCCTCTCATTAATGCTGCTCCCCTAAAATTCACAGGCGTTCATAAGCAGCACAGCTAGGATGGTGAGGATGTCACTTGGTAGCACCTAGGAAGAGTGATGAAACAAGCCACACAATAATCAGGTGCCCTGATTTTCCAAAAAGGGAGGGGAGGGTCAAGACAAACAGAGGCAGCTCCTTTCTGCTGTCTTAATCCTCAGACCAGGCACTTTCAATGTTTCTCAGAGCTCCTTTTTGCTATATTCTGTGCATAAAAGCAGAAGCAGCTTAAACTTCTCAGAGTCCCCTTTATCCAGGGCTTTTTGAGCAATTCACTTATTTATCAGCTTCATCTGAGGTCTGAATATGCTTGCATTTCACAGATGGAGAAACTGAGGCTCAGAGGAAGAAAGCAATTGGCTCATTAAGTCACCCAGTAAGTCAGCAACACAAGCAAGAAAAGAAAAGTCCCCTGCACCACCCCTTGCACTCATCCAGAGTCAGCAATAGAAACCAGGAATCCTGCCACTCACAGATCCCTGCACTAGCCCATGCTGTCACCCAAAATCAGCAGTAGAACCCAGGAGTCCTGACATTCCCAGTCCCCTTCACTAATTAACTTAACAATGCCTCCCCAATTTTGTTTTGAAATGACACGCACCAAAACTAATCACCATTATCATTTGTGCAAGCTAATCGGACATCTTGGCGCTGGGCATGACGCCCGCCACTGACTCACTCACCAACAGGCCAGCAGATTCTCAATTCAGAAATACAGAGATATCCTAACTCCCTCCCCTTTATGTTGCTGGCCCTGAGGTCACGATCCACTCCTGTTCTGTCTGCTTTGCATTTTGTCTCCCTTTGTGAGCCAACTCGACAGCCCTTGGAAGCGACAGCGGGGCACAACCTGAGCACACAGCTAACACGCAAAGCTCCTCCTCACACCTCCGGTCATTCATTCAGACCCAAGCCAGCTGTTCAGGACAGTACAAAAAACAGGGAGTGGATACAGCTGGAATCCAAATTGTGGGGTCTCTTTGTACCTACATTTCCAGCCCCCCAAAGCCCTGTCACACAGCACTCACTTTGTACCCCAGCCCCACATATTTCTTGTTGGTTTTCTGTCTCTCCTCAGGCAAAACTCCAACTGAAGCCAACAAAGTCTAATCCACTGTCATGTATGACATGCATTTCTAAGCTGCCCATCACTAGAGTACCTGGTCACTAGTACCTTCTCAGCTCAAATAAGCATGGTAAAGAACTTTGTTTAGAGAAAGGAATAACACTCCACCAGCCTCTGCCCAGAGTCGCGTGTCCCTCCCTTCAAAGAAACCAGAGCAGATACTCCACCCCGCAGAGTCCAACACTGAGGAACAAAGGCACATCATACATCCTACCCTTGACAGTTCCTAACAAGGAGACAAGAACAGAGCCAAGAATACCCCTAGTGAAGATGCCCCATCTCCAGCTCCCACAGCATCCTTGCTAGCCATAACCAGTGGATGACACAAGGCAATCTCCTAAAAAGGCCCTTTATGACACTGACAATCAAGACCTTACCAGCAATGGTCAGAAGTGGCAGGTAACCAGAGCATCAGCATAGACAGGACATGGACCTACCCACTGCACTTCTGGAGAAAGATCTAAAGAAAGACCCTTCCATTCTCCTCTCCAGAAGATGAATCCCAGCTGCTCCTCTTCTTTACACAGAGAAAGCGATACAAGCCTGCTCACCTGCCCAGTTCTCCAGCCATACTGGGGACATCTCCCCCACACTGAGGGAACACTGCCCTAGGATGGAGATACCCAGGTCATCAGTTCTAGGCAATGGAAGAAAAGCCAGATAGTCCCACAGCCTAATGTCCTAACCTTGAGGGCATGCACAAAGGCATCATCAGGGAGCTAGTGCTATAGAAACCCCTCGTTAGCACCAAGCATAATTAGTGGCATGTAGCTGCTCTTCCCCACCATTGCATCAGACCTATGGTGACTGCACTGATTCTTAACATTGATCCTCTATGAGCTTTTGAAGAACCTGGCTTCCAAGCCACTCACTTCCCCCTCTCCCCCAAAAGGTGCCATCTCCCCATGTCGAGCACTGGACAAAGGATACAGAGCCCGCACACACACACAAGATCAGGGCTTCCCAGGGCTCGGGGGGGATTTGGATATAGTGATAAGGGCATACAAGTGCATCTCTCACCATGCGGCATTTCTCCACGCGGGGACGTGAGCGGTATTTTTGCCTGGCAACAGTGGCCCCAGCACGGGGCCACCTGCGCTCCAGGTCCACGTTGTCAGTCCGCAGCGTGGTCAGCCAGATGCAGCGGGGCTCAGGTGAGCTGCAGTCCACCCCAATGGCCCTCTCAAAGCACCAGCCCTTCTTTGCTCGCTCCACACTCCACAGGGCCTTGCCCACCATTTTTGGCGCAGCACAGGGACGAGGGGGTCCCCACTGCCTGCCGCGGGATGCCCTGTCCCCTCCGCCTGCACCTTCTTCCACCATCAAGCTGGAGGGGAAGGGAGAGATTCTCCCCAGACAATCACTGACAAAGCAGGAGGCCAAAGGAAGACCGCTGCCACTGGAACCGGCGAAGACTCGTTCAGGAGTGTGCCGAGGAGCTGAATGGACTTTCAGCCCCTAGAGCAGCTAGCACCCATTCCTTGTAGATCCATCGGCGAGGAGGGAATAGTGAAGCTCTCTCCCTGTGCCCTGCAGTTACACCCAAAACTTCAGCAGAAAGTCTGGTGTGCAGAGCCTGCCGGCGAGGAGAGCTGAACACAAGCAGCTCCGCTGTCTCACTTATCACAGATGAATGCCGATTAGTCCATGCTTGGGCACACAAGATCCACACACACACACGCACCCTTAGAAAGCTGTCCTGCACACATCCCTTTCCAGGCAGAGGGGATGGGATGGGAAAGCCCCGTCACCATGAGAAAAGAGTGACACCAGCCGCCTGAAGAGAGGCTGATGGAAGAAGCAGACGGACAGACAGACA